AGCAAAGGGCATCGCTACTAGGAACAAGAAGCTACTAGGGGCTCCTGGCCTTACTACTAGGAGCAAGGACGCTACTAGAAGCAAAGGGCATCGCTACTAGGAACAAGAAGCTACTAGGGGCTCCTGGCCCTACTACTAGGAGCAAGGACGCTACTAGGAGCAAAGGGCATCGCTACTAGGAACAAGAAACTACTAGGGGCTCCTGGCCTTACTACTAGGAGCAAGGACGCCACTAGGAGCAAAGGGCATCGCTACTAGGAACAAGAAGCTACTAGGGGCTCCTGGCCTTACTACTAGGAGCAAGGACGCTACTAGGAGCAAAGGCACCGCTACTAGGAACAAGGGCATTTGATTAGTAATTAGCTAGCTTGACATTGTTTGACCAGTCCTGTGGGAGATCTTAAAAAAAGGAACACCTTTTTCTTGTGGTTCTGCCTCAGGTCCTTGCTGATCTTTGGTCACACCACCAGCAAGGTTGGTGAAAACTCTTCCACAGCTTTGCTCCCTTTTGAGTTGGAGTCTGGAGTCTTTTGGCGTCTTTATCTTCACCAGGCACTGTGGATCAGCACCATTGTCAAGGTCGGAGACTCAGCTCGGAACCTCTTCCAAAGAACCTGTGCCACCGCACAGGTACTGGGATCCTATGGTCTCACAAGCAGGAGCCTCACAAACTCGCACGGCCAAGGTGGCCAAGGGCCAAGTGTGTTTGGCCAATTTAGCTGTGCCTTGTACAATTTATATAAGGTAATGTCATGCTTGCGCTGATCAACGATGTTACACATCCTAAGGCGCTTCTTTACAAACGTGGTGTGAAAAACAAGCACAAGTCTTGCATCATTGAAACGTTCCCTCAGACTCGCAACTCGTTTTGGAAGGATCGAGAAGAGGCTGTCGGCCTCTATTTTGCAGCGAACAACTTGATGAGCCTAACGTTTCTCGTCCTGGGAGCCCCTAGTAGCCTCCTTGCTCCTACTTGTAGTAGTAAGGCCAGGAGCCCCTAGTAGCATCCTTGCTCCTAGTAGCTATGCCAGGAGCCCCTAGTAGCGATGCCCTAGTAGCCTAACGTTTCTCGTCTCCAATTTGTGTCGTGAAATTTGCCAAACGATGGACTTGTAGTGACTGATTGACGTTGTGCACTATTGGGTGGAGATTCTCCTAGGATGACTGGCATCCCAGTGCTGCTGGTATTGATTTTGCGGGTGTGGGCCCTATGTGGGCTTGTTGCGCAAATTCGACCTCCTGGATTTTGTGAAGCTGAGAGACACATGGTGAAGTTCTGATTTTCTGTTGCCTGGACAGGTCATCCCGAACAACCCAATCATTTTCCTTGTGGTACAGGTGAGACAGGGTGGAGGGAGAGGGTAAGACATGGTTTTCGTTCACTGTGGGCAGGGATTGCGTCGGTGCCACATGGGTAAAAGAGATGTTAGAGCGTTCTTTGATCAGCGAGAAGGGCACGACAGTCGTTTGGGCAAAACAAAGGAAGTTCCTCGCCTCATGCAAGTTCCTATTGGGTGAAGTGCAAACATTGTCATGGATATGATATATATATAAATATGTGGATGAATTGGGCTTGTTCTGTGCTCCAGTGCTGCTCGCCAGGTTGTCTTGAGTACCCTGTGCTTGTTGCTCCTTTGCTCGGTAAGGCCAGACAGTCGGTTTTGCATCCACCTTGCGGTTTCTTCGCGTAGGCACAAGTCAGGTTGAGCTGCAGGTCATATGTGCATTCAAACATTTAACAGCAAGAAGCTGATTGTCACATCGTGGGTAAGTGGGTGAGCCGGCTTTCAGCAGATGGAAAGACAACACTCTTTCCAGAAGAGAATCGTGCAGGTGGAAGCGGAAAGAGCCAAACGAAGAGGTGGGACATATCATTAGCAAACCTGTGGAGCAAAGTCTGTGTAAAGCTTCACTTAAGTTTTACATGCGATGGCCTCCAACCTACTAGCAAACCCGTGGAGCAAAAGGTTACATGTACGGAATGGATATGATGGGATATCATGACAACTGGGGAGGAGAGACAGATCATTGAATCATTAAATCACTCTCATCCAACACCGGTCTCCCAAAGCTCTTGGTCTTTTAGAAGGGGAAAGTAATGACGATGATTGGATGAATTGGATGGTGGGATGTCCCTTGCGCTATTCAATCGCTTCGTCTCATTTGAAAGGTAGACGTGGACGACAGTGATAGTGAGGATGTGCCTTCCTCGACCAGCGCCAGGCACAAGGGCTGGTGAGGAATAGGCAATTCTTTTTTGAAAAAGGATTCTAGAGGGTGAAGGCCCTAGGGAGATATCCAACATAAGTAAGCTTCCGTAGCATCGGAAGCTGCTTGGCCAGCACGCAGAAGGGCTCAAGCTTCTTCAAGGAAGCTCTGAGAGTGCTTGAAGGTTCGGCATGATGCTTTGTCATGCGCAAAGTGTATAGGTGGTCCAAGCAACGTTTGCGAATGTGGGTCATTCCAATATGAGACCGCGGTTGCTGTATGACAAAAGGCTGCGCCAACGACTAAGCGGCCTAATCACAGCTCCATGCATGGTGTAAGCGACTACTCGCACGGAGATGGTGCAGGCTGTGTGCCATAGTGGAACCGTCGGTTGAGGCAAGACTGCCGGTGGGAGTGTTGATAACGCAACTTTGAGCTTTAAAAGAAGACGGATTTTGTTTATGCTTGGAGGCAACGGTAAGCTCCCAGTAGTTTCACAACCTCTCAATGACCTTTTGAAGGTTCTACTTCCTCCCAGTTTTCGCGTAGAATCCGACTAGCCAAGCAGTTTGTCAGTCGTTGGGAACTGCCTTCAGCGAGGATCCGGCTCCTAAGAAGAGCTGCTGTAGTTGGATTGGCATGCTGCTTAGTCACTGACCATTTCAGTGCACTCTGGACTTGCATAGGCCCAAAGATGTCAGCCAGTGACGAATTTTGTCCATGCGAGCGGGAGTTGTACTAGTCATAGCATTTTGACACCAGTCATACTGTTTCAATATGTTCGGATTTCCATGTTTCGACCAAGATGAAGCTTTCTCAGCTCAAACAGGAGACTTGCGAGGTGGCCGCTTGCTAGATCTCAAATGGCCCGGATTGGCATCTCAGCTCCGCGGCTCATAGGTCTCCTCCACCATCTCAACCTTCTTTCTCGCCATGGAGAAGTGTGCAAGTCCAGGAGAAGCAACCTCCGTGCACCAGGCTTCGGCGAGTTGTCGAGGTCAATGTTGCCAGTGAAGCGAGACTGTCTTTGCACATGGAATTGTGGAGGGATGTGGCAGGTGCAGGGTGCACACATGGCAGCAGCAGCAGCAGCAGCAGCGGACATGGCTGCTTTAAGAGTTGGAGCGTCCACTCGCTGAACCACTCGGGCTGTCAGTAGCGGGGTCACTGACAATTTCCTGCACTACCGTTGCTTTATGCCCCATCATGTTGTGCTTAGACTACGCTTTGCGTGCTGGAACTGCTGCCGCCGAAGCTTCTCTTTGCAGCTCGACTTGGGCGATCTCGGTTCTCTTGTCACTCGACCGTATCGGATAGGCAAGTGCTGCCAAAAATGCGATGGAGCGCGCCATGTTTAAGAAATTGCTTGTGCTGAACATACAATGTTGAAAAGTCATGTGCTTGCGGAAAGTCCAGGAAAATCTGAGTCGGATGGCCAGGGGCAAAAAATGTGACCCAAAATTTAATGCATGAAAGTGCTTGCTAGAGTCAGGCTAGTGATCCAAAATACATGATTGCTCGCTGCAAAGAAAGAAACGGTATGCCAAAGCACGTGCAGCTGGAGAACAGGCCTTTGGTTTTGGCGCCAACACTCAGTCAGTTCTGAGCCACGCTTCACCCCGAGCCGGCCTGTGCCTTCAAGACCTTCTTGGTTGCAAATTTTCGCGCCGCCGTGCAGTTGCTTGAGGCAAAGAACCTGCGCTGCTGGAACCGTGTGGGTTTCTAGGTGTTCCTGCGTTTCCGCCTGCCTCGGTGCTTCACCCTTGGCCCTTTCAATTGCTGCAGCTTGAAAAAGCCATGCCTTCTCAAAGAATTGGAAACTGAGGGAGTTCATGCGGTTGGACTGCGTGAATCCCGGTCAGCGTTTACCCCCAGGGCATACAAGCGCCAGGCAGCTGCAGGAGCAGAAGAGGTGTTGGGCGCGGGTACAACCCACTGCTCTACCAGGTTTGCCCGCAACCAACGCTTGATCAAAAGTGGCCAAAGGTATGAGGACTGCGGGTGTCAACGCAAGGCATTGTGGATGATGAGTGCGCAAACCGCCGCAATGGTCACAGTACCAAATATATTGCACTTATGAGGATGCCAGACTGTGCTTGGTGCAAGTGATGGCAAGCGTCCGAACATCAAAATCTGCAGTGGACGGCGCGAACACGGAAAATGTTGTTTGTTGTAGGGCATCGGTCAGATACCTGTCCACCATAGCTGCGTGGGTAGAGGCGGGCAAGGAATGCCGCGAGCCTTCATGTTGAGGAGCCTACCCCCAAAATGCCATCGAGCCCATCGAGCGCTTTCCGCTGCTTACAAGCAGCAGCCCCAAGCTGGTCACTTAGTCTACCAGATTTGCGCCGGGCTCTAGCGCAATTTGCCATGTCGCCTATTCATTCGCAAAGGTGAAGTTCTCCAGCGGCGTGCGTTGCGCGCTGCCCACGCTCGTCAACACGAGAAGCAGGCCCTCAAGTTCATACAACTTTTTGGTGTTTGCGCAGCCACCTGCCAGCCTCAGGGTCCCGAAGTCCTTCGTGGACCTAGCCACTGAATCTGACATTGTTCTGCCTTGTCTCAATTCGACTTAGCAACTCATGCTACTTGTGACGCCCTATCACTTGCCCAGTGGCTGGCTTTGGTCGCTGGACCACCCTGCGAGACACACATGGGACCATCTGTTTGCGCCTCGCTGTCGTCTCCCTCGACCTGTGCGCTCCCAATTCAATAAGTGGGGCGTGCGGCTGCCGCTTGAACCTACAGATCCTCTAAAAAGAGATCAGCCTCAGGTGGGCTGTGACCCTTCGTTCTGCAAGAGGTTTACGCGCTTTGACGCTTTTGTGCCCATGAAGTTTCTCTAAACAAAATGACATAGAAGGTTTTGCGGCTTGAGAGCCAAGGGCTCAAAGCGAGCTAGGCCCAAAATGATGTTCCTAAAATCGTCCTAAATGCTATCTAAGCCCTACCTTCTCTTTCTTGCTGGACTTGTTGGGCCATCCCATCTCACTCCCTGCCCCCTTGAACACCCTACTGCAATTTCATTTCGCAGCGAGACAAGAGCTGGTGATCCATTTGAGGCCACTATGCCAAGCAAACTGCAAGGCCAAGTGGCGGGTTTTTCCATGTCTCAGCACGCTTTGAGAATGTACAATAAAATAAATATATAGAAATGCCAAGAAAAACATGAGCGCGCCCCCAGAAGACCAACTTCACCGTTGCAGCAAGTGCTTGGGATGACATGCGCAGACGTTCTCACAAACAAACAAACACTTCAAACCACTAGTTGTGGTTGGTTAAATTGTTGAAGACACACCCTAGCACATTGCAAATGGGATGGCGTGTTTTCAATTTTGGAACATTTATATATCCAATTTTTTACTTTTGTGTGATGTCCTGGAGATTTGCAACAAATATGTCAGAATTTTATTCGCGTGTGATGGCGGAATTTTTCAGGCAGTTCATCCTCCCCATCCGCCTTGCTTTTGGAAATCGTCGGCTTCGGCGCTTATGGCGGGGTCCAATTATATTTCCATTTAGCTGCTGTGCACAGTTCAAGGTATGTGGTTCACTGCAAACCATTGGTAGATTTTTCAAACGGTGCCTTCATTGGGAACCATCTACCATTTCTACGTTTGGCCGCATAGAATCATGTGAATTCAGTGGCTGGAACTTTGGTGGGTCACGGCGAGCATAGTTTTCGGCCATTTATGGACAAAACAACTTAGCTGGCCATGTTTTCATGTTCTACTGTCAGGTGTGCCGGATTCATGCTCATGCACCACGGCTGCAATAGATATGTTCCGAGCAGTAGCGTGCGCAACAACTCCAGTGTTTGAAAGGGGCGGCTTGACCAAAGTCTCAATTGTTGAGTCTTAATAAACTTGTGTTCAGCTGGTCAGGTCATACCTTTGAGCATTCAATTTCTTTGCAAATTGTTCTACATTGCAACTCTTTCCCTTTCAGCATCACCATCCACACAGAATGACGATTTGTCGCAAAGAGATATTTTTGACTACACCTTTTATGTGCCAAATGGAAGCAATGAGAGTGCATTGCAGGTTTTCTGGGCAGCTGGTGATGGACATTGGTGGGTTTGCCCCTCAAAGAGCGGCGAAGAAGAGATGTTGAGGAACAAGGAGGTTGTAGATGAAGAAACAAGAGATGAGAAAAGAAAGGCAAGAAAGTAGGGGCCCCTTTATCTTCGACAATGTGAAGGAGATTCGTGTCCTGAGATTGCCTAGGCAATACTTCAACCAATCAATGGATCTCATCCCTTACGGCACCAAGAACGAACTCACCACCGTTGCGAACTCAGTGAAGTCAGTACTGTAACAATAACCTGCCACCATGTCACCATGCCGGCGTTTGGTACAAAACCGGAGTTCAGGTTGCCGTGCTGACCATGATCCCAGGCATTTGGGGTCTGGCGTTGATCTGAAAACCCCAATGCAAGGGCCGGAGTTTGAAGTGAAGACCAGGACTGCACACTTCGGTTCTTGTGATCGTGATGGACATCAACTGTATGACGGTCTGTCTGTCATAATTGTATGAAAGTTTGTGTCAAAACCTAATCATCCTTGGTACGACATCTCATGCATTTTGTGTCTCATGAGTCTCATGAACACATCCTAGCTGGGGCAAAGCGGACATGTCTAATTCACGGGCTTTTATCCCTGCGAATGGAATCATTCCTCGGCGCCTTCATGAAGCTTTCAACGTGGTGAGCAGAAGAACTTTCGTTTCGCGCTGCGCCAGGGCAGCTCTTGGCGATCCCTGGAAATCTTGTGACCGGTTATCTCTCCAAGCGCCTGGACGCCTGGCACTGCTTTCATAAAGCAAATATGTAGACACCATGTAGTCCACCGAATGATGTTCTGTATTTTTTCTTTGACATTTTGTCTTCAAAACTTTGAAGGACGGGGGGACGTCCAAGACTTAAGGTAAGCCACGCACTCTCCCTCAGTAGATTCGCCGGCGCCAAGGTGGAGGGCCACTTTACCTTTTACGGCGCCTTGTGGGGGGCCTGGCATGCCAGGCCTCCGCTGATCAGTTGTTTCTGAAAGGAACCCTGAGAGGATGTTGCTTTGTTGTAGCTTCATTCGGTTTAGCAAGCCCAGACGCTAATCTGACCTGGAATTCGAACTAAGCTTGTTCATGGAACAGGGGAGGCGGAACAATCGGGAGAGTAACGTCGTCTCAGCTACCATTGACAATCATTGATCACAAAGTGGTGAGAGAAGATCCATTTACGACTTACGACAGACAAAACTGACTCCTGAGGTTCCTATCGCTTCCATGCTGGTGACCTTGGGTGCCTTCATGGCGGAGGCAATTGCAATTGAGACTTCAAGACTGCGCATTGTGCAAGAGCTGTAGGAGCTTGAGAAGATGTTTGCCTGATCCATAAAGAGCCTCAGGTGAAGCAGTTCTGGTTCATCGCTTTGACGGCCGGAATCCTACCATGGTGCACAATTGACGTTCAGTCTTAAATGGATCATGGTTCAGTCTTCAGGTGATTTTCCTCAACTACGCGAGCTTGCCCAATGTCCCACTGATGCGCCTAGTTGCTGGGTGTGGACACCAAAAGATGGCAGTAAGAGAGGCACAAAGTTCAATGGCTAGATTTGGCGCAAAGGCAGGCCTAACCAGCTGTTGGCAAGCTTCAAGATCCAGTTCTCTTTTGGGTTATGTTCTACATGGGCCATGTGTTTTGGCTGTGTTGTCAAGTGGGTCACTCCCCCCAAATTGCATCGCCAAAACGTATCCCTCTAGGCTTGCTCCTCCTGGTCGTGTGGGTGAGGCCAACGATGTCGCTGGAGGGTGGAGGGGCGTCAATAGGAAAGGGCCTGGATTGCAGAATTGACTTTGACATCATTTCCTCATGTTTTTCCTTCAAGTCTTCTCGTGTCTTTAAAGATAGACTTAAAGTTTCTTTTCGGGCTCTTCTTTCCTGTGCTTCAAGCCGGCAGTCTTTGACCGCCATCGGTATTGCTGCACAGCTGGCCAGCCTGATTGGCAACGCCAGAGCCCAAGATTGAGTCTCCAAACAGTTCATTGCCTGGAAGACTGGAGTGTGTTCTTTCAAGAATGTAGCAATGATGATCTCTTTCACTTGGTGCTTACTTCGATGAGCAGCTGGTCGCCACAAGGCGGCAGTGGTTTTCATCAACCACAAGTTGATGCAGACTGACATGGCCAATCCGCTCTGGCTGCCTGGCTGCAATAGCTTCTCTAACCCATCCCAGAGATATGAGGAAGCCTGTCATGAAAAAGTAATGAACGATGTGAATCATGACAAGCGAGCAAGGTATGAGGTCTGTGATGCCCATCCGACCGAAACACAGAAGAGTATGTCGAGCATACGATGTCAGGATTTACTATCCGATGTGCGGGACATTGACCCTCATGGCCATCCTACCGATCCAGGGGCAGGGGAGCTCAGGAAGGACTGCAGCAACCAGATGGCGGACGGCGGCAAACAAGTCTGACATGGCAACCACTTGGAACTCTCCGCTCTCGTCCAATTCCATGACGCTACTAGTAGCTTCTGGCATTGCTAATGAAATGTACTAGGAGCAATTAGCTGCTAGGAACGGCGAAGCTGAGGACTCCATATGGTGGCTGGGGTGCAGCCTCGGGCCTGCGCGAGGCACAGCATGTAGCGGTGTGACTCAGCTGCTTTCGACGCAAAGCCGGTTTGTTTGTGACTTAAACATGTGTATGTACAGTATATCACCGATCTGGGCTTTTGAAAAGGTCGAATGCTTCTCAGGCAGAACCTGTCAGGTAGGTCAGTTGGGAGATTTCGGCCTGACAGGATCAAATGGTTGCAATAGTCTATGCGCATGTTGCACAACAGCGCTGGCGCAAATTGGTGGCAAGATGCAAGGCGCTGGCAGACTACAACGGTCAATTCATTTTTGGATCTTTGTGAATGACATGATGCACTTTTACCCATGAGTGAGTCAGATTCTTGTATCTAAAGCTTACTTCCAGTCATCATTTGAATGCGTCTTTTACATTTGTATGTGTTTAATCGACAAATCCATCCAACGTTTCGAGAGACACTTCTATTCCAACTCTCAGCTTTTGCGCCAGGCTGCACGAGCGGCGAGCTGAAGGGATGCAGAGAAGCGTTGCCATTGAAGTTCAAAGTGTGACCTGTGCAAGGAAAAGAGAAGAGAAGAGAAGGTGGAATGTTCTCGAGTCAACAGCAACAACAGCAACAACAACAACAACAGCAACAGCAGAAGGTAAAAGGACAGGAAGAAGATGGATCGGAAGAAGTATAAACATGAAGAACGAGAAAGAACAAGGGCTCAGAGGGGCTCCTGGCATCGCTACTAGGAACAAGGACGCTACTAGGGGCTCCTGAGCAATCTCTGTCTTTCAGATCTTTCACGTCTCGCTTGCACCAAGTTTTACACTTGTCCTGCGAGCACAGCTCTTTCCGGAAACTTCTCAGGTTTTGGACTGTCAGAAGTGCTTGAATCCCTAGCGGCATGACTCAAAGGCACTGCCCAAAACCTGTTGAAGACTTGGACAGTCATGCCGAAACATTTGTTAAGATACGTTCTGTTCGGCGACCTGTCCTTGCGTGTACAGTGTCCACATTCTGGATGGCTCCAATGGATTTCATCCTGGATGCCCCTAGCTGGAAAACCAATGAACCATATAAGTGCCTTCTTTTCGCCCACTTTTGGCTTGGGAAGTGTTTTGGTTGCTTGCTCTTCTATTGTGTGTGTTGAACGTTCGTCTTCAGATCTGAAGACATGTCAACATTTTGCCAGCATTGCAATCCGCAATGACACATTCCGATTCTCTACTTCAGCTTGGCCTGTTTAGACAGGGAGCTTCTTTGTGTTGAAGGTATTCAAAAATCTGCAGACATTTTAGCAGAAGTGAGCAGACTTGACTCGACCTCAGCACAGGACAGACATTGCATGCGGGCGAGGATGTTCTTCGTTGAGAAACAAGAAGCATGGCGTTCTGGAAGTTTGTGGGGATATTCTTTGTCAGGAGCACGATGAGCCTTGTGGATGAGATTATCGTCCCCTGTTGCGCCATAGGCTTGAAGGGGGCCTTGAATGTGGTGAATGCACTTTGTAGAGCCTCTCCTCTACCTCCATACCTCCAGTTCAGCCTGAAAGCAGTTTCAAAAGTTTCAAAGCAGATTTCTGGCACCACTGACAGGTCTCCTAGCAGCCTTTGCGCAGTTTTTGATCATTAGGCCGGCTGCGCAACTAAGTCCTAAGGTACTCAGACAAAAGCACTGACGCATTTTGATTCGTTTTGTTTCTAGTTTTTCAAGGGTGGAGTGGCTTCGCATTGCTGTTGCAGGAAGATTTCTCTGACCCCAAACGGCCAGGCGGGTCTGGAGTCTTTTTTTTTGAATGTCCAATTGAGTCCAATTATAGGCTTTGGCTTCAATTATATACCACTGATGCCCTCAAATCAAGATCAGAAAAGCATCAATAATAGTCAACTAGTCAATGATTGGCACATCGGAGAAGCAATATTTATTCGGGTCACTTCGCAACGACAACTGCCCGCACCATTGGCCCTTGGGGGTCCAAATATAGTTTCTTGTAATCACTCTAATCTCTAATCGCTCTATTTTTCGACCGCTGTGAAATCGTACAATACTGTATAGCTTTTTGTACATAATCACCCTAGTTTTCGACCAGCTTGACATTGTACATTGTTCAGGGGGTCCAAATTATATCGTTGGATAAACGTTTTACACCTGAAACATGTACAATTTCCAGGGCATTGAAGAATAGAGCGATAATTCAAATCATGCACAACAACCATACGATTGCAACCAGCTGATGCATAATGAGAGATGTATTATGTAAGACAAAGACTGCTGAGAGGAGTCGCTTATTTGCCGTTAATGGGCCTGGTGATGCAACTGACGCATATGATTGAGAGATACATTGAGACGTAGGCTGTTCAGAGGAATCGTTTGTTTGCCTTCATGAACCTTGTGATACAAATGACGCAATAATAAGAGATTTAATAAGACACAAATCACATGCGAACGCCATATGTTTTTCAATGTTTTCTTCCACCCCCACTTCTCTCCCAGATACACTTCATGATGCAAGATATGCATCTTCGTTCCCAAACGAAAAATGCACCACCCCTAGCTAGAGTTATATAACGGTGAATGTGACCCAACAGAATAATGCCCCTCAGCACCTTCGGCGCGGGCGGATTTACAAAACAACCTTTTTGCAACAGACATGAGGTATGAGCTGTTCCGTCATTTGGTGCAGAATGTGAATGTTTCAGGACCTTTCCAAGAGCCTGACTTCAGGGGTTGCTTTTCAGACATAGAAGGGGGTTGAGGGCTGGCGGTTCTGTTCCAGGGAAGGAACCATGTTGTTGGATTGCACATTTGGATCTCACAGGTTGTTGGGCTCTGGAATAGACCACTTAACCCAAGCATGTGTGCAGTAGACTACAGTTAATGATCGGTGCATTCGCACGCGCCGATGTCTTTGGGTCTCAAAAGATGACTGTTGGCATGAGGCGATATCTTTTGGAGTTCAGACAACATCTTTAGATTTTTTCCTCCAACCTATATATATATAGTAGATACTCATCAAACTGCAGGCAATTCTGTGCAACAGTTCTGTGCAGCAAGGATCCTGACAAACACTTGAATATGTTAGCCATGTGATTTCCTGGAAGACTTGTTCCAAGAAGCTTCTTGTTACTAGTAAGGCACTTGTTACTAGAAGCGATGCACTTGCTCCTAGAAGCTTCTTGTTACTACTTCTTGGATTCTTGGAAATTCTTGGATATCCTTTGATTGTCACTATGTTACTGCCCAAGGATGCACCTGAGAAGTTGGTGCCAGAGATCTATGCCAAGCGACTGGGCTGGAGTTTCGTTGCACAGCCTTCAGCCACGAGCACCTGATTCAGCCTGATGTTAAACCCTCTGCTGTTGTTGTACAGATCAGGATCATGGATGGTGCCATCCAATTCATTAAGGCAGGGCGACGGGCACAGCCTTTCACGGCTCCATGTCTGCTAACTGTGCTAACTCATCTTGAAAGGATTCAACGCATTATGTAGGCCGCAGTGCGGCAATTCTGCAGGTGGAGTATGCAATTTGCTGCCTCTTTTGTGTGCTCTTCTCCGGGGTGATCTATGGCTTGGTGTCAAGATGCTCAGAGACTGTCACAGCCTAGTAACAGCGGTTGATGCATGCAGATAGGTAAGGCTGCTGAGATGCTTGCCATCCTGAGGTCCTGGGGAACCAAGAGCCACACCCAGGGTGCCCTCACAGCAGGTGCTTTCTTGACAGGCGCGGAAGATTGTTGCAGAGTTATATCAAACTATGAGGTGCTTCGATTTCTAAAGCACACGTGCACAAATTGTGGGACTGACATGGACTGATTAGAACTCACTCGATATCGGTTGGACCTCTGCGAGGTGCCTTCACCTCGATGTTGTGTGGTTTTTTGGGCATGATGATCGCTACCTTCTCCAACGCGCGCACCACCTTGGCCTGCGCCCACAAGGGCTACACTGAGGGTTTCAACACCGCCTTCCGCGGCGGAAGTGTCATGGGCTACGCCCTTTGCTCTTTGGGAGTGTTCGTCCTGTGGGTTTTGCTGACCTTCTACCGCAAGGCTCAGGGGCTAAGAGGAGTTGGAACACTTTGACAATGTAACCGACAAAAGTCTGACGCTTTGAATCACAGGGTGAGACCCTCTGTATTCACCTCAAGATGCTTTCTGATAGGTCTACCCAGAAGCCGATGACTGGGAGATCCTTTTCGATTGCGCTGCTGGTTATGGACTTGGCGGCAGCACGGTGGCCATGTTTGGCCGTGTGGGTGGCGGCATCTACACCAAGGCTGCCGATGTGGGCGCTGACCTTGTGGGCAAGGCACCGAAGTGCGTCGATGTTCAATTGCAGCGTCGAATTGCGTAATTAGAATTCAGAACCAGAAGACACCTTGCAGCATTGCTGCTTTTCTGGCCTGTGACCGTATTTATATCAGATACCAAAAGATCGACTGAACATCGGAAGCAAAACCGAGCAACTGGGCCAGCTGGCCACTTAGCTGAGCCTCGGTTTGGACGTGCCTGCGAACTGACCGCAAGGTTGTTGCCGGCTTGGATGAGGACGATCCCAACAACCCTGCCACCATTGCCGACAACGTGCCCTGAACGGTTGTGCTGGGTGTTGGTGGAGACACTTTATTTCGTGGCCAACGTGTAGCATACTAGTAGCTTCTTGTTCCTGGTAGTAATGGCCTCCAACCTAATAGCGATGGCCTCCACCTAAGATAGGGTCCTTGTTACTTGTACTAGTAGCTTCTTGTTCCTAGTAGCATGCAGAACTACACGCAGTCGATGTGATTGCGAGCCTGTTTCGCAACCGTATCCGAGTCTTGTTCCAATCGCCGACGCTGCATTCGTTTTCACGGGCTTTTGGCCAGGTGGGCGACAACGTGGGCGACATTGCCGGCATGGGAGCAGACTTGTTCGGATCCTTTGCTGAGAGCACTTGCGCTGCGCCGGGCATCTCAGAGAGATTACAATTCAATTCAGGTCGATGGTTTTGGTCCATTTTCTTGTCAGACTGAATGCTCCATGTATGCTCACAAAAGCTATGCAGCTATTCTCTTCTTTCTTTCTTTGTTTCTTTCTTTCTTTCTTTCTTTCTTTCTCTCTTTCTCTCTTTCTCTTTTTCTCTCTCTTTCTTTTTTCTTTCTCTTCTTCTTCTTTGTCAGGCTGGTGATTGCTGCCGCAGCGGTTGAGGGCTCCAACAACACCTTGTCAGCTGCTGGCTGGGATGTCGCTTGAACACAACAGAATCCCATGACGCTTTTTCCAATGGATCCCTAGCATCACGTCGATGTAATGAGATGCCTGGAATACTGTATTATGTTAATTTTGTTGCATCAGGAGCAGCATTTCTTCGATGCTGTATTGGAATTAATCAACACGTACTTGTTTGGTTGTGGATGCTTCGCAGGGTTTCTTGGTTGCTACCTTTTAGTGGTGAGGCCATGCTCTTCCCAGTGGCCATCTCCGCTGCTGGCATTGTTTCTGGGTGTGAAGGATGGTGTCTTTCACACATCACAGACGACACATTGGCAAGCTACAGCAGCCATACTTGTATAATTTTAGGTCTTGAATCATCCACAAGGTCTATAAATACAATTGCTGTATTATATCTATACAA